ATCCCTACCAGCAAGGTATCAGGGCTCTACTTTCTCTACATCTTCGCCAATACATCTTTCTGGTTTTCTGATAATAGCCATTCTGGTGACTAAAAGGGGATATTGTTGTTTGATGGCATAAAATCTTTTTGCTGAACAGAAGTAGCAGATGGAATTGTGAGCATAACAGAAGACAAGGTGACGCAGAGGTTACTTCTTCTTTGGACCATTCCTCCTGTTTTGCAGGCTCCAGCCACCTGTAAGCTGTGTCTAATGTGCCAGAAGCTTGTCCAGCCCAGTGACTTACATCCGATGGCATGTACCCACGTGTTACACAAGGAGGTAGGCACTACACTACCTTCCTCTTTTTCCACTCTGTCAGCTGAGAATTATTCTTGGGCAGTCTACTCTGTTGCTGCTTATCATTAATATCCAGATGTATGGTTTGTGCTGAATTGTGGCTTAAACATAAACAGACTCCATAATATAAGTAGGATCTCCCACCTTCCTTTTTCCCATTCCCTTTAGGGAATGGAACAAGCAGTTTATTCTAGAGCATAGATAGGTCTTTTCCTTGAAAAATGCACATTAAGATAAAATCCCACTTATCTAATCCTTATTTAGCATTATAAAGATAATTTTCTTATATTAAAGAAAATGGGATATTAGAATCTGAATCCAAGATTAGTAACTCCAGTAACAGAGTAACTTCAAAGTCTGCTTACTACAGATTATCTTTACAACCTGACAAGTTATTCCTATTTCTTATTATATCACTAGGCAGAATTAAGTCTCTTAGCAGCAGGGGTAATTCCTTCTTTACTATTTTCTTTCATTTTGTTTTTCTAAGAGGTAAAAACTGAATTTAAACCCTAATTCTTGGTAAGAGAAAATCCTAAATAAGATTAGAAGTATTAGGTGTTTGGTATTGGGAAATGGAAGCTCACCTCGCCTAAATGGGAACAAGTTACACTAATATTCAACAGAAGCACCTTCACACTCTTATTAGCACATTGTTAATGCTCCCTGTAAGAAAAGGGCAGGTTTGTATATTTTAATGATTCTTTGGAGGGGAATGAAATAGCCCTTTAACTTAGTGTATGTTCCTTTTCCCCTTTATTATTTCCAGTTTTTCATATAAACATGAGGAATGTTTTTCCTTCTTTTCAGTGTATCAAATTCTGGGCCCAGACCAACACAAATGACACTTGTCCCTTTTGTCCAACCCTTAAATGATGGCTTTGACTGAGAAGGAAGAAGAGAAACTGATGTGAACAGGAAGCAGCGGGTCAACATTTCTAAAACTCTATATTTATACAGTGACATATACTCAGCCCTGTCCGTTTTTATTATGTAGGTAATACATGTATAGAAAGTCTGTTTTCAAATGTTCATAAATGGAAGTATGTATATAATGCAGAATTGATCTGTTCTCCCTCACCCTGCCACTCTTTTGGGGGATGCAGATTGAATGGAAGATGATGTTGAGTTTGACTTTGAAATTATGATATTCCTGCCTAGGACTGTTTTAAAATACACTATAAAAACCATCTAGGAAGCTGCTGTTGTTGTAAAGCCATCCTGCTTTGATTTGGCTCGGCCTCCAGTCCATTCTCTTAAGGCTCTGATGTGCAGGTTTGAACCCTGGTGCTCACCCGCTGTCCACCCAGATGCCTTGCTTACCGAAAGCCTCAGGAAGCCTCTGCATTTTTCTAGCCACTCTATTGTATTCTATTATTATAAAATAAGACTGAGGGGGGAAAAATGTAACTCTAATGAGTTGACTTTTCATTGAATATTTTACTGTTACCGCTCATTATTTGTACATAGACATTAGATTTACAGAATATTCTGTTTCACATCCGCAAAATTCACAATCCAAGAATAACAACATAACCAGGTCCCATTTCCCCCACACACTCCCACAATCTCCTCTCCACCCTACTTCCTGGAAATAGTCATCGATTAGAAACTGGCACAACCCACAGGTTTTTCCTGGGCCATGCCATCCTTTGCTGCCACTGACTTGGTTTCTACTCAAGCTCTGACAGACCACCTGCCCTTGTGAAGTCCTCACCTCTACCCTCTCATTTCTGGTCTCCTGGTCTACCTAGCCCTCCCCCCGCCCCCTCCCCTGCAAAGGTTAAGGCAGTTGGTTCACAACCAAGTTGTTTGGTGACCTTGGGTGAGCTCTAGACAGGCACTGGCGTGAGGAGATGTCTGTGCAAAATTACTTGCAAAATGATCTTAGAATGTTGGGTTTTAACTTTAGAAACAAGAAAACTATGGGGGACATGTTTCCTATGCTGGGAAAAATGGAGACCAGAATGATAGGAAGAAGGGAGGCTGGATTTCAAGTGTTTGCATCCTTACTCTGTGGATAGCTTCCAAGAACGAGACCACTTTTTCACCAATGTTTACTGAGCCCTTTTGAATTTCAGGTTTGTACCTGGGAAAGCTGGGACTCCGTTACAACTCTGAATCTTTCCTTGTCCTTTTTTAGCTTTACCCCTACCAGAAAAGGCTTCAGCTCTCTTATCTCTGGGAATTAACCAAGTAAAAACCAATTTTTTTTTTTTAAAAAAAGCAAAGAAAAGTGTTCTGGAGAAAGGACATTATATTACTAAAGCTGACTTTCCATTTTGGGGACCTGGAAATGCTTATTGCTCAGGGTAGCAAAGACTTCAAGTCCAACTAAATTCTCTTCTTTCTGCCCTTTTTCTGGCTTTGATCCTTGCTTGTCCATTCATGGACATATTCTTCCTTCTCTGGCCCAGATTTACATCAATTTAATCTAGACTTTTCCAGGTCCTCCTTGGCATTTTACAGAGTGACATGGCCTGAGTGCTTGCTTCACTGCTTTGAAGGCCAGAAACCCCAATTTCAGTGGTTAATGAATATTAGTGTCTCCAGTTTGGTGGCCATCATGAACAAGAAATGGGGCAATATGGAGAGCAATGCCTTTGTTATTTATGTTTGGGGAATTTATTTTTTATACAGTAGTCTAATATTCTTTCCCCTCTCAACTTCACAGATTCTTTAAGCCACTTACAGTATTTTTTAATTATCCTCTGAAAACTTAGAAATTAGAGATGGGTATGAAGAATATTCCATTTCTTTTCCCAAACTCTCTGAAGCCACAGGAATAGACAGAAAAGAAAGTAGGAGGTGCATAGGGTCTTTAGATCCTTCAGAGTAAGTGTCTGGAAAGCCAGCTGTTGTGGGGGACCAGCATTGTAAAGGGTTGTGCATGGGAGCTGGGACCTCATTGTTGCTGTTTTCTTTCTTGTTTAGGAATGATTAGGAAGCAACACTTCAGTTTTGGTTACTCTTACCCTTTTCCCTTTCTCCACTGGCCAGCAATTGTAAAAACTATACAGGCCAGTGGGAAAGGCTTCAAACAAGATGAGGGGAGATGGGACAGACATTTTTGTCAGGACTTGAATTTAAAAATAGAGATATATAATACATATTTTTACAAGCAAGAAGCCATTGTCAGATTTTTCTTTTTTAAATAGCTAGAGCTCACTGTTTCAGGGCAGAAGGGAATAACTAAAAAGATAAATACAAGTTATTTTCTCTTAAAACCAAAACAGGACAGTGGGATTGAAAATGAGTTCTATGCCCTGGAAAAGGCTGGGGAAAAGCCAGTTTTCCCCAACATAGGCAGAAATTATAAAGCAGGACATGGCATTTTTGTTTCATGGTAGCAATTCTGGAAGTTTATTTACACCGTTAAGTTCCAAGCTGGAAATGGACAGTCTCATTTTCCTGTTAGTTTTTGTGGTTATGGGGTGTTCCCAGTCAGCCCACAGCAGCACCAAGTGCAGAGGGAATGAAGAGAACCCAGATAAAAAGCTGTGACTCAGTATTTGTGTTTTATTGGTTTATGGCTTGTGGGCAGCTGGCTGAGGCCAGGGACCCGAGAGGGTCCTTCTTGTGTTTCCCTCTCCCTCATCAGGTACTCCCACATTCACAGGCTTCTTATCTGGAAGCAGCATGTTGGCCACATCGGATGCAGTGGGTATGTCAGAAATATTCAGCTCTTCCCACAAACACTGGTATTGGTCCTACTCTGTTAGAACTAATAGGAAATGAACTTTGCCCCACTGTCTAGCCCAAGAACCAGCCTGGGTACCCAAGTACTAACTGGAGTGAGGAGTAGAGAGAAGGGCAGAGGGAAAGGATGAGGGGATCTTACAGTGAAGGAAATTAGGAAGCCCTGTGGTGGCCATCCCCGTCCAGGCAGCCTTGATACCGAGGATGTTGCTAGAGCCAGAAAACCCTGTTTCTTGCACTCTTGGTATAATACTAGTGCCAGCGTGAAATGCCTTGACCAAATAAGAAGAAGGGACATCAAGATTAGAAGGCAATGAAACAGAGCTGTACTATGTAAAGATCTTACCATTTACAGCTAAAAAGGAATAAATCCAGGTGTAGGGCATCGGTCATCCCTAGACCTGTTGAATGACTTTTCAGGATTCTGCTTTCACAGATTAGGTGGGCTCCAATCTCTTCCTCTTAGCACCTTGACTGCAAAGCTTTAGAAAAATCGGGACTTGAGGGTTAAACCATCCCTCAATATCCCAATCCCTACTATATTCCAATTGGTTTCCCATGGGGCACCTGGGGACTAGGGGCTGGGATATTTTGGTGCTATATATTGTATATAGAATAAAGGGTTTAGGAAAAGACAAGTAGAATTAATACGGTAGAATTCATTCGTTAGATGAAACTTCTTAGTGAGTACTTTTCATTTACGAGCTACAAAGTGCTCTTTGGCCAGATCAACCTTCCTTCCAGCTCCATTTTGGTCAGGTTATAACCACAGAAAAACCCTAACACGCAGTATTCATCTTAGGAGATGAGAGTCTATCTGAGATAAAAATCTAAATCTGGAACCGCCAAGTGGTTGGTTCTGCCTTTTCTCCTGTTGATCCAGCTAGTCCTTGTCTTTGCAATCCCTTGCTTTCTGCTATTCCCAACCTCCCAGTTTGGACAAATAATCTGATTATTTTCTCTTTAATTTAAGAGGCAATCCTTGCACCAATGTTATGCTTATGTATGCAGACTCTAAAGCAAACAGCAAACTGTGTGTTCTCCCCTACTGACTTTGGCCAGCAGAGAAACAAGATTGGCCCTTTCTCTGCCAAAATACACAGAGACACACGCTGGGGTAACCTGGATATGATGCCAGGACCTGGAACTAAGAAAAGAATACTTTGGGCTGGAAACTCTACAGGGATGGTGGGCAAAGATTGAGGGATGACGTTTCAAGCAGCAGAATGTCCCAACTCGCGTTTGAGTGACCAAGAGTATTCTCACCACCAGAGCACGTCTTTCTCCCCTCTCCTGTGTCACCGGTGCAAAGCCTGTAACCCACATCGCCGGCTTTCCCTTTTCCTTTTCTGTCAAGGAAGAGGCGTCTGTTAGGTGGATGAGGGTCCTGAGCTGCCCTGGCCACGGGTGCCAGCAGTGCCTCCCACTTGTGACCAGAGCAAACCACCCAGATGTGGTCCAGTTGAATGTCCATCTTCTGCCCATGGACCCCTTCACTTCAGCAGAGAGATGTCATCAGCAAAGTCATCATGCTGATGGCGCAGGCAGCGGAGGCAGCGCCACTGACATACCATGAGGCACAGTGGCAGCATGAAGAGGGCGCAGATGGCAGCCATAACATAGGCTATGGTCATGAGGGTGGACTCATCTGTCTGTGGAATGTTGTAGCCACAGTCTTCCATATCTGGCGTGACAAAAGGGCCTTCTACTGCAGCTGTCCTGAACTCGTCGTGCACTGGGGAAAGAGCAAAGGTGAAAGACCACTGTTACTGTCAGCAGTTAGGATTAGACAACAGGAAGAATTTCTAGATAATGAGACCTTGGAAGTAGCACCTGAGGAGGTTGTATAATCTTCCTGGGGGATGTTTATGAGTAGGACAGAAAGTCTATGCCATGGAGAGGGTTGGCTCTCCTCCCAGGTCACTGGGAACGGCAGTCGTTCCCTGTATACCTTTATAGTAAAAACGGTACCTAAAAGGCAGTAATTCTGAAGTGACCACATAAAACTCTTCCACCTGTTCATTTTCAGAGTACTCAGCCTTGTCACAGAGCAACTGGCAGGGTCACCAGAGGCTCAGGCTGCTGCCCTTGGGTCTGTGCTCCCAGGGCACATAGGCCTTGGTTTTTCAGCACAGGTAGGCAGGGATCACCGTACCATGAAGCTTGGGACAAAGGCACTGACTAGCTTTTGCGTAACATGTTGACTTCTGCAGGCAATTGTTACTGCCTCCCAAACTGACAAGAGCCCCAGTTGTCCTAACTGCTGGACAGGGAGAACGGGGCTAGGCCAGCCCCACACCCTCTTCCCTAGTTCTTACCATGGCAGGCACTGACAGCAAAGCCAATCCGCTTTCGAGCCCGATCAAAGACGACGTAGAAGCCCTCCATGATGACTGCTCCCATAACAGTGCCCGTGGACGACTGTGAGATGGCAAACTTGTAACAGTCGTCTTGGGATGTGGCCACATCTTCCACTGGCCGCAGGTATTGCTAGGAGTGAGCAGTCACAGGTGAAAGTATGTCTTCCTCATTCTATCCTTTATCCCATGTCTGCCTTTTAGGTACTTGTTTTGCCCTGAGGAGCTCTTCCCCTAAGTTCTGTGGGGTTGAGTTTTTCAACATCCTTTGGACTGCTAGTTTTGGGAAGCCATGCAGCTCACTGTCTCCCCCCCTGCCCCCCACCCCCCGATGTCCTACTTTTGGTCTTCCTGGGTTGACACTGACCCGAGATGGGGACATACCTGGGGAAGGATGGTGATGCGGAAGGACTGATTGGTGGCCTCCCCCATTAGGTAGAGAGAGATGACTGGGAAAATGTTCCAGGGGGTGGTGCCTGCTTGCCAGCACACCAGCTGCTCCCCAAGCCAGAAACCGTCCGGGAACTTCTCTGTCTGTGTTGGCAAGAAAGGCTAACAGTGAGGAAAGAGCCTCTTTCACCATCTCTCATTTCCAGATAACTGACTAGACCCTTGGATTGCTCTTCCAGTGGAATAAGCAACCTGGAGAAAGACTGTAAGCCAAGGATGACAGTAAGATCAGGAGACTGAAGTAAAAAAAATGTACACCAGAGATTAATGCAGTAAATAAACTGAGGCCCCCCAAAGGATGAGCCTGCTGCCGCCGAGTCAGTTTTGACTCGGAGTGACTCTGTCAGGCTTCTGAAGCTGTAAATCTTGATCTTTCTCCTGCAGAGCGGCTGGTCAGTTGGAATAGCTGACCTTTCAGTTTGCGGTCCAACATACGGAGTGCTCTAGAGAGGGGACAGAACAGCCTCTGAGGGGAGGTAACTGCCTCTCGCTGAGAAATGGGACTTCACTGATTTAATTTGATGTTCCCTCTCTGTGTCATCCCTTGAACCCCAGCCTTAGCCCCACTGACCGAGGAGGCTGCCTTGATGGATTTTACTGCAGCTTCAAACACTTTCTTGGGCAGGCGAAGGTTGGTGGTGCCGCTGTCCACGATGCTCTTGTCGTAGTTGTACTAGGAGGAGAAGGGAGGGTTGGAAGAGTCAGAGCTCTGTTTGCAAGCTCTGGCTAAGTTGGAAAGTAGGTCTAGCTCTTTGTTGTCCTAATCTCCATGCCTCAGTTGTTTTGTTTTTTGTTTGTTTGGGTTGTTGTTGTTTTTTGTGTTTTTTTTTTCAGTGGGATTAGTTACAATACCTACTTCAAATTATTGTAAAGATTAAATAATGTGTTGAAGGCACTTAAAAATAGCACCTTGCACATTAGAAGCACTTGGTAAATGTTAATTCCTACTGTCCTGCATCGGAAGACAGTCTCCAAATCCTAAAAATGCTTGAGAGTGTTTTTAACTCTTCATAGCTGACCCTCCAGTGGGCTTTTAGAAGCTGTAAATGGCACAGGAAGAGACTGCCTATCTTTCTCCTGTGGAGTAAGCTAGTGGACTTAAACTGTGTGCCTTTGGGTTAACAGTGCAACTCCTTATCACTGCTAGGCCATCAGGGCTTCCCTTCTTACTCTTCATAGGACTTTTGTATGTATTGTAATTTGACACAGAAGAAAGCAAGGAAAATCCAAACGATTTCCCTACTATTGATTAGGTATCCGTTGTGTTTCAGACAGTGGAATAGACACTTTAAAAATTATCTCTGATCTTTATCATCTTTGGGAAAATTGTTTTTACCTGTTTGGTAAGTAAAAAAGACAACAGAAGCACAGATTAGTAACTTGCCTAAGGGTATATAGCTAATAAACGGCAGTGCTAGACTTAAACCCAGGTCTTTCTGATCCCAAGCCCTTATCACATGGCCTCACAAGTGACTTACCCAACTTCATAAAACAAGATAATGGCTAGAATCAAGAAACTGGAACTCGTTCCTACCATGGTTTTTGTCTTCATTAAACCATAAGCCACTTGGTCTCTGTGTTAAGTGCTTAACCTCAAACCCTTCTGAAGGTCTTGCTCCGTGGCTTCATTCTTCCACTTTTATAACCCAGGGACTTGACTGCCACCCCTCCCTCTTGGGGCACCCCTGGTTGTGGTACCTCCTTGCAGTCCATTTTCAGGTCTTGTCCATTGATTTCCACCTTCACAATGATCACCTCATAATACCACTCCCGCCGGATGGGTGTGTACCAGAGACTGCCGGTGTACAGAGAGTGGTCGATACCTCCAATGATCTAGGGAGGAGAAGCAAAGCGAGCACTAGGCCTGGTGACTGTTAGGATGACAAGGCTCCACAGCCACCTTTCTCATCTTTCTCTTTTCAGTCAAATCATGTCCACAGCGATGGAGTATTTCATGAGTGTGTTCAAGGGAAAAGGCTTTCCAGGACCTTTGTTTAAGAGAATCACACACCTCTTCATATAAAGATATTTAAACCTACCCTGATACAATAAATGTTGAATGAATGGTTATTTGCTTCCGTCATAAATTATTTTTTCTACTTGTTGGAGATGGAGAACCAGTCACCGTTGTTCTAATTAATAAAGACTAAGCCTCCTTATATCTCAGCCTTTTGATTACTAGACTGAAAATCTTAATTTGACTGTGCTGGGGTTCTTTGGGTTTTTTTTTTTCCATTTCCTTTGAATCATCTCTGATACTTTACAACTTAATTGTAGATTCTAAGATCCTTTCTGGAATAATGAAAACGAGAAAAGTGGGGATAGCCAAGATAAAAGAGTTTTCTCTTGACAGTAAATAGTGGGGCTCAAACTGCTGCAGCCACAGAGGGGATGTGATGGTGCCCAATGCCTGATCCCCACTGCCATATTACCTGTCTTCTGAGGACCCACTCACCATGCTCCCTCCAACCGAGGCCAGCGCCTCTGACTGGTTGAGGGGGAAGCCAGCACCACAGAGCTGCAAGGAGAAGAGGTTGGGAACGTGCGTCTGCTTAACCAGGGAGTCAAAGAAGGGCTCCAGGGAGTCATCGGGCTGTGCCAGAAAGAGAGAGTGAATCCTTACACAGGGCCCTAGTGGGAGGGTAGCTTCCTACCTAAACTGGAAGGCAAAACAAAAACTTGGGGGGTGGTCTTTGGGTAAGACTGTCTTACAGTACTGAGACTTGGTAGAGAGAGGGTTAGTAAGAGACATTGGCCATGTAAACAAAGTACTGATGGGTATAGCTCTCTAGGATCTTGATCCCCACAGACCTAACCAGTTTCTGATTTATGGTGCCTCTCAAAGTTCTTAATAGGAACCATATGCAATTCCTGTCCCATCTCCATTTCTCTCACCACAGAGCCCTCTCTACAGATGAAATTCAGACCCTATCTTCCTGTTAAACTTTCTTAAAACTGATTTGTTCCTTTCCTTTAGTTGCTCCCCTTTTTGTCCCCCACTCTTTCCTTGTCACATGCATTGAGGGCATGTGTAGAGTCAGAATTTGTCCCTCTCACCCTGGCAATCTCCGCATAGGCCAGCCCCAGAATGCCTTCCCAGTTGGAACCATTGATGAAGAACTTGTCTGATTCCGTGATGGCAGCAATGTTGGCACGCACGGTGACGTTGGGGCCGTGGGGGATGCTCACCAGGTCGGTGCCCAGTTCCCCTTCCCACTTGCCCTGGGTGTAGGGCACATACACGCCCTTCCGTAGATCTCGGTATGTACTGGATCTGTGGAGAGGAAACATCTGAGGGTGCAACTGATACCAGGATTCAGCATCAACTCAACTTCCAAATACCTAACTTGATCTCACTGGCTGCCTAGACTAATCTGTTCAACAAAACTCTTAAACAAGTCCCCTAGATCAGAATAGTAAAGTGACCTTGCAACACAGATGAGGGGAGCTCTTATTCCCTGCTCTTGAGCTCAGTCCCCGTGAGGAACAAGCGTAGGCTTTGTGTATTGTGCCTGTTGCTGCAGAAGGGACAGCTACCAGGCGTCTCCCCCACTTCCCAGTCCAGTACAATCATACTCCCAGAGAAAAGGAGCTATTGACTCTCTTGCTGCCTTGGGACCTGGTGGTACCATCTTGAGTGCTAGAGAAGTACCAGGCAGGGAATGGAGAACCTCCACAGGAAGTTCTTGCACAAGAGATTTGCATAAGCAGCTTGGCTGAGCAGACAGGTACTGCATACACACGACCTGCATGAAACATGGTCATAAAGGCAATTCACTACCTGTGTTTAATCTGCCACCAGCCAGATGTGTGGGTGGGGGTGGGGGGCAGTGAGGAGCAGAGGAACTCAGATGAACTCCTTTCACTGATCCCAACCATGCCTCACTCCCAGCTGCTTTTCTTCAGATCAGGAAGTGAAAGGGGGGAGGGACCAAAAAAAGAATAAGAAGTAAGGTGGCTTCTGTACCTATTTAGAAGTCCAAGAGTGGAATTTAAGGTTTGACTCACATGTTTCCAAACACAGAAAGGTCTCAGACATTAGAAATCTTGGCCACTTTATCTTCCTGCTTTTATGCTAAAGGGCTCCCAGGTGCTTCACTAACTTTCAAAACTTCAACCCTTGCCTCCACCAGTAAGCGGAATCCAGCTGATGGGACTCAGAGAGGTGCAGAGAGGAGCTGTAGTAGTGTGGGGCTACTGGGAGGTTCTTTACTACCTTCAACTGTACAAAGCCAGTAAGAGAGGCCCCCAGGTGAGGCCCTGGGGGTGAGAAGGGAGTGGAAATTGCAGCCCATTAAGCGAGGATGCCTTCAGTATTGCCATGAACAGTAGGGAGGGGCTTGGGAGGTATTCACCTCCCCCCCTCATCAGTCCCCATTCACCCAGAGGGACTGCAGATGGGGACAGACTGTGAACCTGCTCCGTGAGCTATGAACTGGCCTTTCTCCCTCTTCACCTCCCAAAGGAAGCAGCGCTGGCTTAGTACTGCGGTGCTCCCTCCCTGGCTGCCTCCCAACTGACCCTTTTCTCTCTCCTAAGATGCGCTCTCCTCTTTCCCCCTTCCCCTTCCCTTGTGAGAGGAAAGCATCTGAGACTCCAGTGTTTCTCCTTAAACCTCTCCTTCTACCTTTTTCAGCCCTAGATTCCCCAGAAGGGTTTGCCCCCTACCCTAGGCAGGTTACCCCAGAACTCACAGATGTCTCTGGTAGTAGCGATGCAGGAAAGGGTGGGGGGCAGCCCCCACTGCAAAGTTACTGCTGCCTGTGTCCACCAGGATGTTGAGCTGTTGGAGGAAGGGGAGAGAAAAGGCATTACAGGCAGGCAGCTTTATCACCCTTGCAGCCACATTCTCCCTTTGGACTGTCCAAGGGGAAGCTTCGGTGTGCAGGACTGGACACCTGCTAGTACCATGACCACAGTCAGAACCCAAGGACATATGGTCTACGCAGCACAGCCTCGCCCGTTTCTGTAGAATCAGTCCTGTGTGTGTGTGTGTGTGTGTGTATCTTGTCTCCATCCCTGTTCCTCTCTACCCTCAGCTAGCTCTCTGCTCATTTTGTACACCTGACGGATTCTGTTTCAGAGCTCTCCCCTGCCCTCCTGCCCTGCTCCCCCAGGAAGCATATCACCCAGCAGGCAGCCTGGCTCACCTCCCTCCGCAAAGAGCTATTCTAGGAGCTGGCACCAGTGAGGGAGCGGTGGGGACCAGGATGACATGGCTGTGCCCACATGGATTTCTGACCCTGTTTGCCAAAACGTGGCTCCCCACAGAGGCTCTCCTTCTGTCTCCGACATGATGCAGATGAATGACTCCTACTGCCAGACGTAGTGGGGAGCCAACAGCTGCATACGAGGTCCTGGTGGGAACCTACCCAGTGAGGGCCCTTGTTGTTGGCTGGGGGAGCACAGGCAGGTGTCATCTTCGTGTTTCCCACCCTGCAGCTCCTCCTTCCTGGTGTCCCCTGCCTTGTCATTCCTCCTTTGCTGGCCTGACCTCTCCCGCAGTCAGTCCTGAGCTGTGTGTCGAATACCAGCTATATCCTCACAGGCAAAAAGGAGCAAAAGCCTGTCTTAAGGAGAATGTTCCTTTGTGAACTGAGGGAGCTCTGGTGGCCTAGTGTAAGAAGCTGTGCTGCAGCTATGAAATGAGTCCCCTCTAGCCATGTCCACACCCTCCGCTTCTCCCTGACCTGCTTTACATTTGCTGTTGAGTTGACTATAACTCATAGTGACCCTGCGCCCTATCCTTAATCTTGTTGTTATTGTTGTGTGTGGTTGAGTTGGAACCGAGTCATAACTGACCCTCCAGAGGGTTTTCAGAAGCAGAAAACCGCACGAGATCTCCCAGTCTTCTCCTGTGGAGCAGCTGGTGGGTTTGAACTGTGTGCCTTTGGGCATGCCTTGATCTTCAGGTCCTTCATTTCTGGGTTCGCTTTCTTCAGTGCAGTGAGAGCTGTCTGGAGTTTCAGTTCACGCGCTGCCCTTGAGCAGGTCTTCAGTTTCCTGCCAGACTTTCCATGGCTCCTTTGGGGTCTCGGTGGTGCCTCTGTGGCTTTGACGGCTGCATCCCCCTCCCCAGGATGCCCCTCCCCAAGTCTTCAAATACTCCTCTCCACTATCTTCCCAGCCCCCTGCTCCTGGCTTGCTTCCCATTTTCCACCCTTCCCTCCCCCCTTCTACCCTCTGCTCCCTCTCTGGTGGCTGAGCTCCCAGCTCCAGATGCTGTGCTTTCAGAGAAAATCAATAGAGCTGGGAGGCTCAGCAGTTCAGATTTCAATCGAGTAGGTTAATGATTAAAAAGAAGGTTCCTCCACCCACCTATGATCTAAGGTCCCCTCCCCAGCTTCTTCACGTCCAGCTCCCAGCTCTGGCCTGTCCCGGTAGTTAGTTACAGAATCTTTGCTAGCACTGGGCCCCAAAGAAGGAGGATCTCTTCCACAGCACTGGTCCCTGTGGCCTGTGTGGGGAATGCATGTGCTCTAGGAAGACATGCAGCTTGAACCTGGGGCTCCTCTGTCCCGGCGCTTCCAGGAACCAACTTCCTCTCTCCTTTCCTGCAGGGTTGGGTGGTTCTCTCAGCTCTAGTTGCCTTTTCAGTCCCACCTTTTCTCTTCATCTAAAAGAAGTCTTCCCACTCCACCCGAAAGGCAGCCTAGCCCATGAAGCAATGGTCCTTCCACTTCCATTCCCCTTACACCACCCTCCATAGCAAGGATTCTGGCCACCACTGCTTTCTGCCTCCCACTGGATGCCCCTCCACAAAAAAAAAAAAGGAAACAGTGGAGATGCCTTCTTGAACAAGCATCATGTTGTCTGCCCTTTGCAGTTTTGACTCTACTTCTAAGAGAAGTTGTTTCCAGCACTGTTCCCCCCACAATTCTAATCCAAACCCTTTTCTATACAGGGTATCTGGACTGGACAGCCTCCGGCCCCCTCTCTCCTTCTTGCTTCTCCTGAGGGGAGGGGCCCTACGCAAAATGAACTGAGTCACTGCATTTATTCTGAAGTAGTTCAGGGCAGCCCTGAAGCAGGAGCCAAATGGTGAAAGCATTGCTCTTGTTAGCTACCATCACGTTAGAACAACCCATAGCTAACTACACAGTGGGTTTTCCGAGGCAGTAATCCCATGGGAGGAGATGGCCTATCTTCCTCCGGTGAAGCAGCTGGTCTGGTGGGTTTGAACTGTGTGCCCCTGGGTTGGCAGCACAGCTCCTCACTACTAAGCTACTACAATCCAAAACCTCAGAAGACAATGCTCTGCTTATTTAAGAGAGAAATCGGAAGTCATGAGGTGGGACTTCCATAACCAGTCACTGCAATGCCTCTGGCTGCACCAGTCCATCATTCCTCTCGGCTTCCTCCTGACACAGGTATAAACTCTCACCTAACCTGTGGGGTCTATCCCCCCATCCTATTAACCTTGTTAATGATACCCTTTCCCTTCAAGTAGATTCAACCACACCACCTGTCCTTCCAGTCTGGATGTTCCCCTCTTGGCATTGACAGATGCTTGAGAGTGTCTTCTTCAAAAGCAAAACCAGCATCTCCCTCAATCTCCCATTAGCCTCAGCTACCCTCAGCTTGTAGAGAGGTGCTCACTCCTCCCCCTTCACAACCAAAGTTCCCTGCCAAGCTGCCTTCATTTCTTACATCCCACTCACTCCTCAGCCTGTCCTAAAACTGGGTTCCGCCTCGTCCTTCCACTATGAAATACCCCTTACTACAGTTACCAATGATTTTATGTCACCAAAGACAATTTCCAAGTGAGCCCTCACCCTGCTTGACTTCCCAGGCACATCAGTGCTTGTGACCTCTCCTGCCCTGAAACCCCTTCCTATGTCACCACCCCGTGTGCTTCCCTCGCTGACCAGATCCTCTCTGGTGGCTTTGCAGGTGGACTTCTCAAGGTGTGGACGTGGCCTTCTTCTGCGCCCCTGATGTACCCAAAGCACTCTCCCCCACTCTGTGCCTGCATGGACCACATACATCCCGATAACACCTGAGCTTATGTTGTTGCTGGTTTTCACTGAAGAGCCTCAACTCATAGCAAACTCAGGTACAACCAGACAAAGCATTGACCAGTCCTGTGACAGTGACTGCAGCCACAGATCTGAGCGGGTTGGAGGCTGTGAGGCCAACCACAGACTGGAGCAGGTTGGAGAACATGAGGCCAGCACAGGATACCACACAGTTCAGATCTGTTTATGTTGCTATGAGTTGAGGTGACTCGAGAGCACCTGACAACAAGGTGCTAATCTTTACACTAGTTGCTATGCTCCAGGCCATGGTTGTGACCACTGTATATTTTGAGGACCTTGGCCTTGTAATAAGGAGTTGTGCTGCTGACCCAAAGGCACATGGTTGGAATCCACTAGCTGCTCTGCGGGAGAAGAATGGGCACTCTCCTGTTGTGTATTCACAGCCTCTGAGAGACTGCTGGAGGGTCAGCTATGCATTGGTTCTAACAATACACAACAACAAATGTCCTGGGGGCAGGGGGCCTCATTTTCCGGCACTATACTGGACAGCATTGTGTTGTGATCTGTAGTTTGCATCGGCTGAGTTTTAGATACAGACAGCCAGACCTTCCTTCCTAGTTCGTCTCAGTCTGTAAGCTCTGCTGAAGTCCCTTCTGTAAGCTGAAGCCTGTCTATCATGGGTAACTCTGCTGTTGCTCTAAATACCAGCATAGCTCCCAATACCAGAGGCTGCCACTGTCACAAACTCACAGGTAGGCTGTGGCCTAAGCATCCATCTCTGAGACATCCTTCCCTTTGAGCTCCAAGTATCCTATGTGCAAAGCTGGCGTGCTGTCATCTGCCCCCATCCAGCCTGGTCTTCCAACAAGGCCCTTCATGGTTCCGCTCTGCTAATAGATCCAGCCAAAGCCCACTAGCTATGCTGGCCTCAGCTCAGCTCCTCAAACCAGCCATGGTGCCTCCTTCCAAAGGCTGTTGCAACATGTGCCATTCGTTCTGCTCATACGACCTTCCTTGCTACTTGCACTTTTACAGACTTCTCTCCTACTTGGCCTGTGAACTCTCAGAGAGGAATGTCTGTCTTTTTTTCTTCTTTTTAAAAATAAACCCCCACAGTGAATGTCACAGTGCATGCAATAAGTATTTTTTGAATGAATGAAAAGGAATAAAACCCCTAATATGCTTTCCTTTTCTTAAAAAAAATAGCAGGTGACAGAAGACACCCGTTTCTAGCCCATAGGAGCGGCCCTCTCAGGCCCCCTAATTTGACATTGGATTCTACTATGCACGTCTCCATGCAGCCTGCACTACTGAAAGCCATCTTTCTTCTTCTATCCCTCGTTGGCCAGGTGACCCAAGAGTCCCCTTAGCTATTGACTATAGCTGCCCAGAGGGCTGCAGACTGAGGTCATGGCTAGGTCACTGCCAATCACTTAACAAACAAATGTCTCCCTGGCTGCCTCTGAGGAGAAGTGCTAACAAGCCCCCGAGGGACAGGCACACCTGCTCAGGGTTCTCTCCCCACGGCTTACAGGAGCAGCTCTTGGATGATGAGCGAGCTGTGGAGCTGGTGAACTTGGGCTGAGCCCTTTGTCCTCACAGCACATCTGTCTTGGTCCCAGCTCTCTCTCACCAGGGACATCCCAGATTGTGGAGGACAAGAGTCTTTGGAAGTCATGGCTATTCTTGATGCCTCACACGATGGGGGCTCTTTCCAGTTCTGACACATCTCTAGTTATTAAGAACCCGTGACCTTTCTTGGTATTCCATCCCAATGTCTTAGCACTCTTATAAACTTCTAGAG